TAGAATAAAGGTGAGAAGCTTCACTAAGAAAAAAAATCTAGATATCAGTGTAAAATTAAATAGGAATAGTTAAAAATAACTAAATTAAGGGCAAATTTAACTAAATGAACAAATGCTAGATGCTATAGTTTCATATCAAAAGAGCCAAAATATAGCAAGAAATAAATTGCACTCTAGCAAAAAAATATACAAAAAAAAAATTTAAAAAATAAGTTAGTGACCTTGTAGCAACCTCTACCAAAAAAATATACAAAAAAAAAATTAAAAAAATAAGTTAGTGACCATGTAGCAAAACAATGACAGACTCAACCCCAAACACACAGCAAACGTAGCCAAAATGATAACTGAAGGCTAGTAGTCAAATAACACACCAGCAGCTACAATGACACTTAACCTGAACTGAAACTTTGGCCAAACAGCAAAAACACAGGCAAATAATTAAAACTTAAAAATAATAAAGTGGCTTAAAAGTACCTCAAACATTTGATGTCAAAGTTGGCATATGCTAGCATGCTAAAATGCTACTAACAACTATTTTTAGCACAATTAGCATCTTTCTTACTTTATGCTATCTTTAGCATGATGCTAAAACACCAGAGTGACTGATTGCAGCAGCCGTTGAGGATGACTGGCCTGTTTTTACCCAAATTTGGGTCAATAAAATGGCAGCTGTAATAAATTATTCTCAGAGGAGAGCTCTTTGGATTGTAACTATAAAGAGCATACATTCTAAAAATAAAAGACAAAGTGACGTGGGATACGAAGCTGAGTGTGAACCATGGATTTTTTTAGCGTCCGTGACAGGCGGGAATGTTGTCCTGTACTTTAGTGAGGCGTGGAGACGAGGAGTAAAGAGCTGCAGTGAATCTTGTTACCGCCGTAAAACTGATGAAGTGATTTATTCTTCAATAAACGGCACAACTCCTGGCCCAACTGACACCAGCTATTACATTAGCAGCAGCAGGAGACGAGGACAGGAGGTCCAAAAAAAAAACAAAAAACCCTGGTTCCAGGGCTCCTTTACTGTCATCACACTTTTCCTCAGGACAAAATGTCCTAACTTTTTTTTTTAATTAAAAAAATGATTGGGATCCAACTGCGACTCCTGAAGCTGTCATTTTAGGATATTAATAAAAGTAAGGAAATTGATTTCTAAGACGTTTAAAGGTTAGGGGGAAAAGAAAACCCTAAGACATCTTTCATTACCTTTTCCATTAAAAAAAATATATACAGAATGTTGTCGCCTGTTTCAGTTTAGGCAAGATTTTATATTTTTTTGTCAATTTTTATTCTCTTGAATATTCTGTTACTGAATTTGTTTTTTTCTTCTTTTCTGTTTAAGTAAATTAGCTAAGGATTTTTAAAAAGTCTACAAACTTTGTTTTAAAAACAAGGTCAACACAGAGAGTTCAGACAAAATGTGGCAAATATTCCAGACCTGAGAAAACGCCTCAATTCATCACTGGAGGCTCATATTTGCACAATCACTTTTGTCCTTCCGGGCTCCGGTATCTCCTGGTGCCTGGGTATAATGTAGGACAATTGGCCTTTTGCTTCATCTCCTGTATTCCCCACAGAGAAGATGGAGGCAGCTGATCAACAGCGGAGCTGCAGCTCAGATCACAATAAAGTGAGCGTTAATTAGATCTGTTTGTCATCGCACAGTGAACGCTGTGGGACTGTACAGCATTTTTAATGCTGCGACCATATACTCTCCACCTGTCAACTGTATTCCACACAGAACCATTAAAAGTGGAGCAGCACTTTTGTTTCTTTTTTAGCTCCAAGTTTGTCTACAATTTATTTTTTACTGCTGGGGCAGAAAAGAACTGACACTATTTTTTAAGAGGACGCAGCAGAATTGGAAAATAACCTTAAAATATCGATATCTGACCTTTGGTTTCCCAGATTCTAGGACCTCATAACTCATGGTAATTGGTTTTTATATTGTCTTGCATCAAAATCGTATTAGAATTAGAGGTCAAATAAAAAAAAGGCAAAATATAAAAATAAATTATATTTAGATCAGGGATGAAAACTGTAATAATGGCTAAAAATGTAATTCAAAACTATTTGGAAAAAAATCAGGCAGAAGAAAGCCATGGTTATCACCAATTTAGCGAGAAGACATGTTAAATCTGCCTACAGTAAATACAGAACAAAAATGGAGACAGAAATGACTAATTATTAGCCAGAATATTGTCAAAGATCACTCCTGTCAGAAGCAAGGATGCGTCAAAAATATTACTAAATAAAGCAAAAAACAAAAGCAAACAACTTCCAGTTTGCTTAGCAGCAACAAAAGATCAAAGGTCAGCCAAAACAAATTGCCAAACAAAACTCCTTGACCTAAAATGTCATTTTACATTTGTCATCTTAAACTAAACTAAAAATAGAAACAGTTCTATTTTCAAGTAAATCAATGGTCGTCAAAATTACCACTAGTGTGAACGGTCACTGGTCTCCGTGGTATAGTGGCCCTGTGATGGAGTGGAGCATCGTCAACGACTCGGGGGATTCCCTCCAGCTCCCCCTACAGCCATGAAAAGCGCTCGGCGTTCAAAGATGAATGACCATAACCCAAAGGCATTTGTCAGAGTTGTGATAATAACATGTTCTGACTGCACAGGCGTCATGTTCATCTGTATCAGACTGCGTTTGCTCTTTACTCTAACAGACATTTCCACTGATAGTAGCTGCAGCAGCAGGTGTGACTCTGCAGGCACCGGTACCATTTTAATCACAGGTCCATTCCACCTCCACATGCTCTATCAGGGCCCTGTGGCAGCGTAAATGGATCACTCTTATCAACTACACCACTGCTGTAACAGCCCAGCCGTGGCCAAATGGGCTGCGGTGAGCAAGATGTATGAACGCGGTCCGAAAAAAATGTTTCTGCTCTCAGTGATGATCCCAGTGAGAGAATGACCACGAACATCTGCAGCTCCTCTCTGGAGAATCAAAGCCTTTGTCATTGTTTTTATGTTCCGGGGCTGATGTTGCGTGACTCCAACCTGTGTGGTCCCCGATCACCTGCAGCTGAACAGCACGC